CATCATCATCATCATCATCATCATCATGGTGATGATGATGATGATGATGATGATGATGATGATGATGATGATGATGATGATGATGATGATGATGATGATGATGATGATGATGATGATGATGATGATGATGATGATGGGTGTATGGTGGTGCTCCAGGCACCGGTTCGTCGGCCCCTGTGCGATATGTTCACAAGTAACCGGCCAGACCGATGCGTGGTGGGCTTGTACGATAGCACTGCGGACAGGATAGGTTAGGAGCTGCTGAGTCGGCGGCGTTGTTGATGCTGTTTGTGTTCACCGCGCTGGGAGAAGCGGAGTTGATGCTACTAGAGATGGGAGAGCTGTCGGATGTGTAAGGTATCCTTGGCATGTCGATATTGCGACAAATTCAGCACTCAGGTATGCGCGCATAACCCAGTAGACCCATATATTAAGTAAATGTGCGCTAACAATGGAGGCGGATGTGGTGGGTGTATGCCGGGACTCCTGACAGCGGTTCTTCGGCCGTGATACGGTGGATCCGCAAGTGACCGATTTGGCCGATGCGTGAGGTGAATGTGCGATCGCACTGAGGACTGGCAGGGATCGAGCTCACATTGCTGGTGGTGGGGTCGGGGGAGTTTGGGGTAGTGTTTGACGGGGAGGCGGGAATGGGAGAAGTGGTAGTTGCTGTCGTGATGGTTGTGGCATGGATGGTGGGGACGGTGGTGACCGGCAGCAGTGGGGCACCAGGAGTGTGACCACCGGTGGTGAGGAAGGTCGTCGTCGTGGACGTCGTGGAGGTTGGTCAGGGGAGACGATGGGCGTGTTCGTAGAGCCAACAGGTGGGGTTGCTAGATTGCTGTTACACTGAGTCCGGAGGTGTCCGACGAGGCCGATCCGCGTGCGGAACCTTCGTTGGCAGAGTAGGCATGCTGGTAGGGGCTGAGCGTTGACATTGTAGATCGCATGCCCTTGCGTTTTTAAAACCGCTCTTTCGGCCTTGGTAGCGACGATCTGATTGGCTTCGTAGATTGCTGCCCCAGTCTTTACTTCTCCTTTCCAGAGCAGTCACTCCTGTACAAGATCTTCCCAAGTTTCGGGATCGATTTGCAAATGATTAAGCGCATTCTCCGGGGTGTATTTTGGCGTAGTTTTTGTTCTCCTTGTCGGCGAGAACTTGTAGACTCGTCTATCCTCACGTGGTGGCCACTCCAGCCTAGTTGTAATTTCCTCGGCATGACATGGATGCTGAGGATTCCGGCTTGTTCCAGGACTTTCGTGTAGGAAATTCTGCCCTGCCACCTAAATGTTAGTATTCTCTGGAGACAGCTGAGGTGGAAGTAATTTGGTTTTTGGCGTAATTGACGTAGAAAGTTCATGCCTCTGCCTCGTATAGTAGCATTGTCAGGACCACCGCCCTGTACATTTTGAGTTTTGTGTTGAGTTGAAGTCAATGGCGTTTCCAGACGGAGACCTAACTGGCTTTGGAGATCTGACGGAAATTTTCGTCGGCGATTTCGATGCTGTGTCAGTGTACTGCTCAAGAAAGCGAAATTTTCCACGGTCTTCGGTTGGAAGCCGTTAACAGTGGTGCGAGAGGTCTTGTATCCAATTGCGGGTGACGGTCGATGCATGACCATCGTCTTCGCCGTATTGCTGATCGCCCCAAAGTTGCCGCACCCAGCGGCCAAAAGGTTAATGCTCCTTTGCATATCCACTTCTGTCGTGGTGTTGAGCACGCAGTCGCCAGCGAAGAGCATGTCGTGGACAGATGCGTTGGCGCCTACACGCGCCAGCTATTAAGAGGATGGTCGTCGGCCCTGCAGGCGATGCGGATCCCAGGACGCTCATTAAAATAGGCGTTCATCGGCACGACGGAAAATGAGGCTGAGGAAGGTAGGGGTGAGCAGGCAGCCCTACTTTACTCTGTTGGTTACTGCGAATTCTTCTGAGACTATCCCATTGTTCGCGACGTGCACCATCAGCCCGTCGTGAGACTGACGTACCATTTGCATGAATCGCTCAGAACAGCTGGATTTCTGTATGGCTTTTCACAGACCATCGCGATTAATCGTGTAGAAAGGTTTCGTCAGGTTTACGTCTCTTGACACACCTCTTGCAGCTGGCTGGCGAAGAGGAGCATGTCACCGGTTTTACGGCGATGACGGAAGCCATTCTGGCTTTCTGGGATTAGTCCCTGTTCAAGATGATTGTCGAGACGACTGAGAAGGATGTGAACGCAGATCTTTCCGGCGAGGTTGAGCAGCGAGGTTCCTCTGTGATTATTGCAGACTTGCCGGTGCCATTGTGGCGAACGCTAAAGACAGAACCGTCAATCCCAGACTATAAAAATCAGGATAAGACCAGAGTTATGGAAGAATTAATAATCAAAAGTCAAACGACCTGACAATCCCACTCATGCCAAGCGCGTCGCGTCGAGTTGTGTT